GGACATCCTACCTGCTTCATTGTTGTTTCAGAGTTTAAATTTCAGAGTTTTATTTATTCTGCTACAACAGATTAAATTCTAGGATTTTCCGTCAGCAAATGCCACATGATTTCAGTTTGCCCCAACACCCCATAAATGTCCAAAAGAATGGCAACTCCACGAATGTCGAGTTGCGTGGCACCAATGAATGCTGTCATCAAAGTATCGGTTCCAATAGCAATGATTTTCAAGCGATAACTTCACCACGAAAGCTCCAGGTTTTTCTAATCAACCAAATGCGAATGAGTGAACTTGATCAGTGTGCGCTTATCTAATGAGTATTCCCATTTAATAATATTTATTATGGTAATATGATCCGAAGGAATTTCCGCAATAAATGACGCTAGGCACAGTGAAACTCGACGTTCTTTGCTGTACATCGAGCTCCTTTTTAGTTGCCAGTCTGCTCCAGAAAGGATCCGATCCCGCCATTTCACCGTCCTTATTCCACGGGCGGTGCATCTAAAATGTGCACCTCTTTGCCACGTACACACACATACATCTGTCAATGGACTAAAATTTCACAGCTCCTGTAGTCATCCAGCCAAAAAAATTTAGTCAGACAAGTGGAGAACAGCGGTCAACGATGCTTCCGTCACAGTGAGCCCCAACTGTGAGATCCACGAAGTACGCAGTATTTTTGAGGAAACCCAAACACATCTATCTGGCGTAAACGTGTGTGCCTACTCAAGGGCTTCTGATGAGTCGCATCCCCTCATTGCTCACCTTCAATCTTCCCTCTAAAAAGTTTTTATCCAAAGTCTACCTAGCTGGCACACTGAAACAAAAAACAATAAGTGGTGACCAAAAATTAACAAATATTTATGGTTTTTAGAGTGTCCGGAGCGACCACATGCGTGGGAGATTCAAACTGGAAACCAATACATTGCACAAGCTCAGATACTTCTTATGTTTTGCTGCGGGATTTCTATTTGCTGTCGGCGTACTCCTTCGCAACCGAGCAAACTCTTGTAGCGATGTGTGTAATCAAGTCATCCGTCGCACAGAAGAAGGGAAATATCTGCTTGGTCCGCAGTATCGTATCTTTAAGTTGGCGGACGGCTTTCAAATTCGAGCTACAGCCCATCCCAATCCCTTAGAAGATATCTTTACAGAAGCAACAATTTTCTGTCGCTACCATGCAGTTCAAGTTGCCTTCTTCACGCAGGAAAAGAGACCCAAAAAGCTCTACGGAAAATATCCCATCAGTGGAACTATTATGGTAAGCATCGTCCATCGTTTTGTTTCTGAACCTTATATGCATGGAATTTTGGGATTTTCGAGACGACAGACAACTGAAAAATTGATGTCTTCGGACGAACAGAAAAGCCCTTTTTAGGTACCTCGGAACCTAAAATAGGTAGCCACGTCACGGGAGAAGTGGTTCTATTTGCGGATAATCTGAACTTAGAAGAATACCCACTTTAATCCAAGTCGGACATTCCACCTGATTCATTGTTGTTTCAGAGTTTAAATTTCAGAGTTTTATTTATTCTGCTACAACAGATTAAATTCTAGGATTTTCCGTCAGCAAATGCCACACGATTTCAGTTTGCCCCAACACCCCATAAATGTCCAAAAGAATGGCAACTCCACGAATGTCGAGTTGCGTGGCACCAATGAATGCTGTCATCAAAGTATCGGTTCCAATAGCAATGATTTTCAAGCGATAACTTCACCACGAAAGCTCCAGGTTTTTCTAATCAACCAAATGCGAATGAGTGAACTTGATCAGTGTGCGCTTATCTAATGAGTATTCCCATTTAATAATATTTATTATGGTAATATGATCCGAAGGAATTTCCGCAATAAATGACGCTAGGCACAGTGAAACTCGACGTTCTTTGCTGTACATCGAGCTCCTTTTTAGTTGCCAGTCTGCTCCAGAAAGGATCCGATCCCGCCATTTCACCGTCCTTATTCCACGGGCGGTGCATCTAAAATGTGCACCTCTTTGCCACGTACACACACACATGCATCTGTCAATGGACTAAAATTTCACAGCTCCTGTAGTTATCCAGCCAAAGAACTTTAGTCAGACAAGTGGAGAACAGCAGTAAACGATGCTTCCGTCACGCTGAGCCCCAACTGTTAGATCCACGAAGTACGCGGCATTTTTGAGGAAACCCAAACACATCTGTCTGGCGTAAACGTGTGTGCCTACTCAAGGCCATCAAGCGGATGGATTGTTGGTCCATAGGCTTGTCTTGTGTGTCAGATTGACTGAATGCGATCTGGGATGTGCACTGATCATTATCCACAAATTGAGCAAAGTCCAGTTCAGTGTTTTTCCTCTTTAGAATGACTAGGACAATCGCGCCACAAGAGGAGGAATCTATACATTTTAGGGAATATTTGGTAACAATCGATAGATTTATTGCTGGGCAATGTTTCACTTTTGACAGAAAAAATTCGTAGGACCAATTGCCTAGATTCCGAGGTTGGTCGAGATTTGAGGCGGAATTTCGTAGGACCAAGTGCCTTGATTTCGAGGTTGGTCGATATTTGAGGCGGAAGGAGAACCGATCAGTTAAGCCAAGCCAAATCTGAGTTAAATGTCATTCAAGGGGTTTTGTGTGTTAGGGTAGGTCAACAAGTGTTAAACCGATGGGGAAACCTAGATGGATTTGGGTCCAGTTTAGGGTCTAGTTCATCACGGGCTGGTCCCTCTTTAACGTCGTTTGCACTTTTCGTCCGTCTGTGTGGATGACCTAGTGCTACGATAGTTTTGTGAGGAAGATGGATTCTGTGAACCTTGGTCTGGTTGGGATTTCCACCTCCCCTGTTTTTCCAGTTTTGTGAGGAAGCTGTATTCTGTGAACCTTGGTTTGGTTGGGATTTCCACCTCCCCTGTTTTTCCTCATGATTCTGCGTGCATTGAACCTATTCAGCTATGGATAGGTTGGGAGAAAAAATGACACGAATCGGCTCAAAGCTTGCTATAACGCTTGGTTGCATTTGATCACCCCTTCTTTATTGTGAGAAGATAAAAACAAAGAGCTGGTTCCGACGAAGTAAGGATGCTTTATACCAGATATAGGCCATTAATTATGCAAGTAAGAGGACCGGCAAAAATATTGCTGTGATTGGCCATCGGATGTAGATTTACTTAGGCGGAAGGCAGTTTGTATATACTGGATGGAGAGCACGAATTGAACTCATGACCGTCCTAAAACCACGGTCGTACACGAGAGCAGGACAGTGTCTGTATTTTATTGACTTTGTCTATGCCAAGTTCACGTGGCGTGTGGCCATATATTTACACAGAACAGAACATCAGACTCGAGTGAGGGTGAAGGAACACGTGGCGGAGAGTGTACACAGCCGGCTGAAACAAATAGATGCACCGACATAACATCAAAATAAAACGGGACCACACCGTGCTGCACTGCGGGCCTTGACTGTAATTCGCTCTCTGATTGGGAACTCTTATCGTATCGTCCCAACGGTTGTACTGAACGCCAACTGGCAGAAATTTGAGATTAGCCAAGGCTGCTTTCCTAAGTAACTGGAAACCAGATCTTTGTAAGTAGCATTCTTCATTCCGGTGACACTACCACGGTAAACTGCAGAACAGACATGTGGAATAGTACTTTTTTTAACCTTTTTTCCTTATTGATGAAAGCTGCAGTACGCCCCCGATGAGACATCGAAATGAATCCAGACTATCACGCAAGATTGCACTGTTACATTCGATTTTCACCTGCCTTCCATTCAACACAGTTCTGCTGGTCGTCCGTGGTCGGTAAAAATTGCAATCTCCGCACCTGTACGGAATTCAAGCCGTTTCCAGCCCCCAATCCACATATCCCGCTCCCTAACGGTCACGTGCTTATGCATTTGAGTATGGTGCACGCACTATTGCACGGGGGAAATCCATGCTATCTTCTCTGCAATGTGAGATGCGACAGACAGAATTTATCTTCCGGTCCTTCGGGTACGAAATCGTACCTGTGGTCTCGTGTGTCATGTAGACAGATCAGGATCAAACTGTACTTTAGCTTGGTAACCAGTCCGGACTGACAGCCAAGCTTGACGAAACTGAGTTCGCTAACTGAGTAATCAGTGGGTTTAGACAGGCAGCAATGAAACCGGAAAGTGAAGGTAGGTGGTTAGCTGTCCCATTGATAGCAGAACTTCGGTTCCAGCAGCATGCTTTCTCGACAGCATGAGCCAATCACGTTGATAAGTCTCAAGGTTACCATCGGTTGGATTAGCATACCTAAGCGATGGACTTAGGCTCTCCGTGGAGAAAACGACAGACATGATTTTTTTGGGTAGAAAATTTTAAACTCTTTTGAACAGTCCAGTCGCAATGCGTCGGCGTCAAAGACTAATTGGCAGTCGTGTCTCTAAAAAAATCAAGGAGGTAACCTGTTGACCGAAATTCGGCATATTGTTGGTTGCTTCCATCGAGTGATGAGAGAACCATTTTGGTGTAATATCTCAGATAATGTGAAATGTGAGGAATCCAGCAACGTATGCTTCCCATCATGTCACCTTCTGCGTAAGATTTTGCAGTACCATCGGTTTGGTCAGAGTAACGCAAATGTGTGGTTGCAGCCGGTCAACGTGATTTCTTGATCCACGCATGAGCATCAAACGGACAGTCTAGTGGCAACTGGCACCTTTGAAAGAAAATTGTGCTTAGATATATCAGCAAAGTAAAGATCGGAACTGGCATGGAAAATCATCACAATTACACAACTAAATATTCCTCTTTTCGTTATTGACTGTGCAAAACGGTTGACGAACATTTCGACGTTCTTGAGCATATCTACAAAGTGCCCGTACAACGTGAAGCTTCTGTGAGCTTTTACGTCGATGAAGCTGTGGGACCGATTCAAGACCACGGTTTTCTCTGTAGGTTGCCAATTTGTAAGTCATCTTAGTTGCCCAGTTAAAACAAATGCACTGTGTTAATAATTTCGCCTTAATTCGGCTACCTATGAGCCATATCGCCCGAAGCTACCGAGTGGACCGACTGACACGCGGTAAGTCTAAGGAACTTGGAAATTTAGAAACAGTTGGGAAACACAGCTCTTTTGTAACGATCAGCACTTTCGTTTGTCTGAACGAAACCCCATCACTCATTTGACAACAACGATAACATAGGGCAAAGATTAAGGAGTTAAGAACTGAGGGTCTATAACCAAAACCACAAATCCACTGTATTTACGTGCGGCGTTCGTGTGGGACAGCTGCGAACCTATGATGCAATCTGAAGACGATACTGAGTTTATGATTATCAGATCTTGATCAGTGGATCCCTGGTTTATGTTCGGTCAGGCATCCTGGGCGTTCCTGATTATGGTTATTAAAGTTTCAGATGTTACGCAATTCTTTCTTTTGAATATTTCATGTAGACGTATGAGCGGAAGCAACCCAGAAAATCAACTTCATTTTTTTGGCGAAGAACTGGTAGCTACATCCGTCACCATTTAGTCGATTTACCTCTGGAACGCTCTAGTTGACGCAAAACCACTCAGTCTACCACCTGAAAAGCGTCTGATTAACTCGATAAAATTGAACTGAGTTGTCTGGGAGGTTTCCGGAACACGACGGGCACAGTGTGGCTACATCCGTCACCATTTAGCCGATTTACCTCTGGAACGCTCTCGTTGACGCAAAACCACTCAGTTTACCACCTGAAAAGCGTCTGTTTAACTTGATAAAATTGAACTGAGTTGGCTGAGAGGTTTCCGGAACACGACGGGCACAGTGTAGGTTTTGATGGTGACAGGAAAAGTGTGAAAGAAACCACGATCTCAGCTTTTGAAGCCGCCTATCCGAGGATGCTAGTAGACACTAATGAACCCTCATCTCGTCACTACCAGAAGCTTTGACTGAAGCCTGGAAAACTGTACCTTCCACAAACGACTGCAATGATGCACACAGATTCCCTAAACGTCAAATAATAAAGAACCCAGTGGTCAACAGAGAGCACTTGTGTCTTGCAAAATCCATGGTAATGGAGAAGGCTCTTGCAACTAGAAACAACAACACTCTGTTCCAGATATTCCGATCAAATGGTATGAGTAGGGTTGGTGTTAGTGAAATGATCTTCGGAAAGGATTAGAGCTCAGTTCATTCACAGATATTTCATCTTGAGCGATGAGCCGAACACGTCGAAGAACAGTTCAGCTGGGCCCATCAAATTACCCTGTGGAAAAACTGACTGAACCCTAGTGGGATGTGGATACTCACCAGCCGTCGTAGACGGAAGCGTGCATTCTTACTGATTCAAAGCAACAAAGCATCTAAACCAGACATTTTGCATCAAGCGCTCTGCAAAAAGGTGGTGAATCCATCGCGGCTCACCTGACAACCCTACTTTAAAATGCATCGTAGAGAGAAAAGGATTCCAACAGAATGGAGCGCCTCGACCACGATTCCATATTTTACAAGGGCACAGGAAAACGTGTATAGATCACCGAGGCATCAGCCTTATGGATGTGGCTGTTAAGGTGTTCTGTGTCGTTATCCCACGCAGGTTGGTCCGTCATCGGTAGTCAAGCTGGGTCCCGTCCAGGCCGGGGTCGCACCGATCACATCTCCATCTTGCAGTAAGTGTTAGAACTGCAACACTCTTTCCGATAAGTTACACCGGTTGTGTTTTTCGATCTCAAATCTGCTTTTGACTTCGTAGGTCGTCATAAACGGTGACACTGTACGGCACTGAAGGGTGTACCTTCTAAATTCTTGTCTCTTGTGAAGACTTTATATGCCTCCTCCTGTGGGTGAGTACTGCCTAAGGCAAATTCTTCCCTGAGTTCATCAGTCCCGATGGTGCCATGCAGCGATTTTCTCTGTTGTCCTTTCTCCCTAACTTCATAACTGACGTGTTCCTTGAATCTTTTTCACCTGTTTCTAACACCTCAGGGTTGGAAATACATTAAGTGTAACAAGATTTTGCTGTTCTTGTATTAGAGATGTGGACTATCTTAACTACACTAAATAATTCTGTAGCACGGTTCTGCAACGCATTACACTTATAAAGAGTAAAATATTGATCCAAGGCTATATCGGATCGAATCCATATCTCATGCTTACAGGTGAAACACTTGATGTAGTAGATACGTTCTACTTGGATAGTTGGATACTTCTCGATGGTGTGGTTAAATACGAACTCATTTTCCGAATTGGGAAGGCCGGAGAAGCGTAGGATGATAAGGTACGATTCGTCCTACTTTATGAATCAGAGACACTGTGCAATGAAGACCTCCGAAGTCTCTCTGTGCTTGACCATCGGTGCCTCCGAAGGTTTGGGCAGGACTGGTGGGTCAGTAAGGCCTTCCTGAAAAGTTCATTCTCCCTCGATGGATCGGCCGGTCACGGTCCACAGGCTGCTCTGATTTAGGTCATGTAATTCGTATGCCAGAGGACCAATTGCCTCGTAGACCTCACGTTTTCAAGACCTGTGTTGAATGAAGAACATCCAGAGGCAATTAGTAGATCCCTTAGCGACGAAGCATGAAAGCCCTCACCGGTCAATTCAGTGGTGTTGATGAATACAGTCTTCTTGGATGAGGACCTCTAAGATAAGACAAACCGGCAGTCAATGCCCCTGATAGATATGGCCGTCACGCACCCAATGGCGGTCCAGCATCACAGCTGACGCCTTACTTGCGTAGCACATGGTCCTTGTCACACCGGACAAACAGAACCGTTTGCAGCCAATGAACTGATTGGTTCATCACTTCCGAAGCATGGCTTTCATTTCCTTATTCTCCTTATCCTCAGTGAAAGAAGTAGCAGCTGGAATTCCTGCATCTCACTGAACGGCTTGTGAACTGAAAAACTGTACCTATCGCAAATATTTTAAAGCCACAAGTTGACTTTCAAGAGTAAATAGTGCCAGATGGGTTCACCTACTTAAATTACGGTGTACTACTGTCCAAGACACTCCTCCAGGCGAAAGATAATAAAAAATGCCTCAGTTTATTCACACAATTTACCACTCTCGTTCATGTTTGAACCAGTCGTTTTGTGCTATTTTTAGTTGCAAATGAGGCACGACGCATTGGTCGGTCTACCAGGTGGCGGAGTTCGCGTTAACGAAACCCTGATGCAAGGCCTACAACGGGAACTGCGCGAAGAAATTGGACTCGACCATCCGCTGACAACCTTGAATTACCAGCTTAGCTATTCCAACCCGAGAATGGAATATTGTGGACACCTGTACACAAAAGAAGTAGGTTTTGAATACATACACGTCGGTAGCATTTAGATTAATCTTTTATTCGGCTGACTGATTTACCTTACTACCATCATTTTCAGATGTAATGGTCCCGTGACTAGTGATCATATAGTTAGTGTACGGCTGGAACCAATCAGGGTAATGATTTGACCTCACATGCCATTCGGAACCGCCGTTTGAAGACACGACATCACCCTACCCTAGCCAAGTTGGTACAAGACTCATACAGCAACAGGTAGCACGGTGTAACTAGACTTTTTCTATTGATTTTTACTGAACAAGGTCCGCATCCACCACATCAACCATCTAGCAACTTTAAGTGTTGCTTTTCGACATATTAATTAATGACTGTCTGTCCGTCTATTGATTAGTTTTAGACTGCATGTAAGGGGTGATATGGTTAGTCCTTCTTGGGGTCGGTTGCGTTCTGAGGATGATCGCTTGAAGAGCTGTCGAACGGTTCGTTGAACCCATTTCGTTACGCTTTCTGTTTATCAGGTGACAAATTGACAGATATACGTGCATTTAAGCTTAAATCAGGCTTCTTACTTTCAGAAATGAATCCCGAGAGTGATCACTGTGAGGAAAGGGGTGTTTGTCTTCTGTGATCTCTTGTTGATCGTGACTAACAGGGAATCGATTGGAACAGAGGCTTCTCTTATAGAACTTTACGGAGGATTTCTGGTTTCGCTTCAGTTAACTTACTGGGATATGATTAGTCAAGAAAGTAAAGAGTTTGGAGATTAAACTGACTTGAAGGTTCATCAGGTAATAGTTTGCTGTAGGATCCAGAAATACGTAGTCATTGGAATCCTAAATTCGAACAAGATTGCAATATGGGTAGTTAGTGAGCTGTGACACATGTTGGTGTGTCCTCTTCGGTGAAGATTCTTCCGCAAACTTCTCGAACACAGTTTTGTCTTACCAAACAGAAAACATCTAGGAGAGCTCCCAATAGAAGTAACTTTTGGTCTGTAACCTCAAACTGTCTCCCTAGAGTGGAAATATTGTTTTAAAGCAAGCATATTCGGAGAGGCCATCTGGAACTACACACCAAAAGCAGTTTCCGATTAGATGTGGTCTATTACAGAGAGGACACAATTGTTGAAGACAACTATGTGGGACCGGCCTAAGGGAGAAACCATAGTATTTGGACTCTATACGATAGGAGGCGCGTTGCGAACCTAAACCCAGTTCAGGAATATCAAGACCCGAATTTGATCTTGCTTGGAGCTGGGAAGCAAGTAATCCCAGGGTTTGAATTTCGCATCCCGGTTTTTGGTGATAATAGACTCAGCACCTCTCGGACATCCAAGGTGGTCTTGTTAGCACCTCGGCGTGGTCAAAATGTAGACAAATGTAGTTAAATGTAGGCAAAATGTAGTCGATTTTAGGTCCGGTCTCACTATGCAGGGTTTGAGTGGACCCATTTAGCAGCGATCTCTCAGTGGTGAATCGTTGAAGGACTAGTGTCTTATACTATCGGATGCTTTAGTATTTGAAATCAACCAGGAACCAACTCTCTATGCGATATGAAAGATATCGGCTCTATATTCGTGTCGTTTGTTGTACTTCAAGTCTGTTTTAGGTTTGTCTTATTTTTGCTCTGTTTATTGTCGCGTTAAGTACTATTAAGTGAACATTGATAAGCACGACCGCTAATAAGAATGTGATGAATGCAATCAACATTATGGCAGGCCTGATTAAAACCCTAACTGAGTTTAGTGCTCCCTCGTTCGGTACATTTTATACCTCACTGTGAACTTCGTAAGGTACTTGACGGGGTGCCCGTTGACATACAGTGGATCGACGTTCGAGTCCGGCTGTCCTCTCAAACTGAATCATACCCATGAATCCCTGCACAATATAGGCACATGCACACACAATTTAAGCCGCATAAAAAAATCACCTAAACACTGTTACTTCACAAAACCGGAATTGCCAAATAATTTGAGGACGGTGGAGCACTTGATCCGTATCGTGTACAGTTCGTCTCGTGGCCGGGGTAAATCCGAAGCACATTCTTATGGCCATCTAAGGTTGGCAGTGGCGCAGTGCTCAAATGAAGACCACCAAATAGTAGGTTCATTTATTTTCGTCATTTTCAGGGCCAGACAGAAAGTAAGCATTTAAACCCGGTGGCCACTTGTTTCGCTGGACCAGCTGTCCGCCTTATTGGTAAGTTGACAGCCATCTGAGCTTGTGTTGTTAGCTCCTGCTCAATTTCATCTGCTCTACGCGAGGAGGATGGTTAAAGTTCAGTTCTAGTCTATTAAATACATACAAAAACAGATCGATAAATACGCTAAACTGTGGTTTGCGTGCCCGCATTGATTCACAGTTGAATATGGAGGTTTCTGCCTCAGGTAGTTCACTTGTGTGTAGTACAAATAAGCCAAGGTCATGGTGTGCACCCACCGCCTGAAAGGTGGACCATATTTCGATCCATCAGTTTGTGTAACGGTCATCATGGCGGGTCATGTACGGTGATGAAGCGTGCTTAGGTGTGTGATGTCCTCAGAGGGCTGACGAATATCTCTCGAAATGCCAAGGTTCCAACAACCGCATGCTTTGTGTTGGTTGGTGATTCACCAGCAGGACTTTTTGAATAAAATCTAGTACTAATTAAGCCGGTTAGTTGAAAGAAACCACAGAAGTAGGTTTGCAGTGTGCCTTATTACTTGGAACCACTCAGTCTGGCGAAGATATTGGCCGGAAAAAATCTCTCCATTCTGAAAGGATACACAGTGCCCGATTAGAACCTTAGGAGACCGGTTCATCACTGTAAGCTCCTATCGTGTCATCAAAAAGAACAGGCTTGAAAAGGATGGTGACAGATGATCTTGTGGATTACATATATTTGCTTGGTTTAAGTCAGGTAAATATTGATACCAAATGCCAGTCGCTGCAGATACCGTAATAAACGAACAGTGGAAAAATATATGTAGTTTCCCTGAGCAAATTTCCTTATCAGACACATTTCTCGCACCTTTAATTCACTTAGCTTTCAAGTGGCCATACCTTTAGTTCACCGAAACTTATATCTCTTAACGATGAAGGCAGGTGTAGTTCATTTAAAGACCAAGTCATCAGCCCAAAACTGATGGACTGCATTCAAGGTATAATACTGCGGTGCGCTCCATATTACTATATGGATCAGAAACCTGGCCGCCGCGCGCCGAGGACGTCAAAAGACTTTCAGTGTTTGACCATTTATGTCTTCGGAGCATTGCCCGAATCTGGTGGGAACACCAGATCAGCAATTCTGAAGTACGTCGAATGGTATTTGGGAGAAATAACTCACCCTCGATAGATGAGCTGATCACGCTTCATAGGTTGCGCTGGCTTGGCCACGTATTGCGTATGCCAGTCGACCGACTTCCTCGAAGGGCTCTCTTCGCACAACCACGTGAAGGGTGGAAGAGATTCAGAGGCGGTCAACCAATGACTTGGCAGCGAAGTGTGAAAGCCATTACCAGCAAACTCAGCTGCGCTGGTCGCTGCCGTCTTCCTGGATGGGGACCCCGAG